TTTCACGGCTTGTAGCTTCCAATAACTTTACAAGTCTTTTTAAATACATTGCGGGGAATTGATCAAAACTGGAGCAGCTGTGCTCGGCAACCAATCAGCTTCTATCTTTCAAAGCTTAACTGAACAAACTGAAGAGAGAAGCTGACTGGTTACTATGGGCAACTGCTCCAGATACGGTCTGCACCAGTTTTGATAAATTCCCCCCAATTATGTTATATATATGGCAACAGTATATTTTTTTAGAGAAACTCCAACTTTTATCATTAAAAAACTGTCCATGTGCTCCAGTCAGTGACTTTATCTAGAATGAGGTGTTGCCATAGGTCTGCTGCAGGCAGGAGAAAGCATTTCCTCAGTCCCCCTGCCCCAGTGGTCAGACTGCGAGACTGTAGCAAATCACAAAGTGAGAGGCTGCAGAATGGTCTGATCTGTGTCAGAAATTTGTAAACACAGTCAAGAACCAGACAGGTCATGGTGAGGTGGCCTGAAAGGAATCAAGAATCCCTCCACCATTGAGGAATGCAGTAACTCTTCTTAAAACAGAAGGTACAGTATGTACAGCAGGGGCGTCCCGAGGCCGGGTGTCACTCGGTTCCCAGGCCGGTTGACACCCAGCCATGTCGTCATCGCGCCTGACGTCACCTCGCGCGTGCATGGCCATCTGATTGGCGCCTGCCGCCAGCCATCTTGGTGATGGACACCGGCAGAGAGAGTAGGGAACGTTCACCCGTCAGGATGAGGTATGCCGCCGGGTCCCCTCATCTCTGCTGACACTGTCGGGCTCTAGGTCCATGACCGAGTGCCTGACTTTTTAGAGGGCGTGACACCAAAATGACTGATAGTCATTTTGGTGTCACCCCGCAATGGTGTCACCCGGGTGCGGGCCGCACCCCCTTTGTGGCGCCACTGATGTACAGGTCTTACTTCCACCAACTTATCTTTGGATAGCTGGTGGCGCTATACAAAAAGGTGCAAAAAATAATATTTTGCATGACCCCACCCAATAAACCCAAATGAGGAATAATATTACCATTAAGGAATCTGGCCTAGGGGAAGCAGAGAGAGTAAATCCGGCCCTGCCTGAGGACATCACATTTTATGTACTTTGTTACCTTTGTAACATTTCTTTTGCAGCGATGATTGGCAAGAGAAAGAAATGCAGCTGAGGTCGGCCATTAAAGAGATTTTGAAGTTTGACATCACAAAGGAAAATCCGACAGATCCGATAGTGTTACCGCAAGCCGACTGTGTGATCACGATGTGGATTCTGGATTCCACCAGCACCAATGAAGATGAATACATGACAACCCTGAGGAAAATGATGAAGTTTGTGAAGCCCGGAGGACTCCTGCTAGTGATCGCCACTGTAAATGGGACATATTATAAAGTGGGGGAGGACACCATGCATGTCTTCCAACATGATGAGAATTTTGTGAAAAACGCTGTCACCAAAGAAGGGTTCACTGTCACTCACTGCGAGGTGTTAGCTAGAACTTCAAAGAGCGATCTCACTGATTATAAGGGAATGTTGTTTGTAGCAGCACGCAAAAATGAGTAGTCCAGTAGTGGATGCGTCTCCCCCACCCTCCACCCCATATACAGTATGTCTTCCCCCTTTCCCTTATCTACATTCCTCCTCATAAATTTACCTTTTTAATCCTCTAACTACCCTTCCCTCATCTCCTTTCTTACCTATTTCCATCTTCCCTACCCTTCCCTTCTTCATTACCTCGTTCCATCCTCTCTCCACCCCACCCTACCCTTCCCTCATCTCCTTTCTTACCTATTTCCATCTTCCCTACCCTTCCCTTCTTCATTACCTCGTTCCATCCTCTCTCCACCCCACCCTCTCCTTCCCTCATCTCCTTACTTACCTCTGTCCATCTTATCCACCCTACCCTTCCCTTCTCTTCTTCCTTACCTTGTTCCATCCTCTCTCCACCCCACCCCACCCTTCCCTCATCTCCTTCCTTACTTCTTTCCATCCCCCCTCCTACCTCCCCTTCCTCATTTGTATGCTTACATTCTTTCTTCTACTTTCTCTTACCCCTTTTCCTCTTCTCCATCCTTACCTCCCTCCTTTTTTTCTCCTTCTTTACCTCTTTCCATCTTTTGTCCACCCTTCCTTCTCTCCGCTTTTACCTCTTTTCCCTACTCTTCCCTACTCTTCCCTATTCTTGTTCCCTCTTCAAAATCCATACATAGGGCAGAACAGTGGTGTAGTGGTTAGTCCAGCTCACGAAAATTCTACCATATCCACGGCCTTCACCCGAAAACATATCTGGACACTTACTTTTCTGCGATATCCGAAACGAAAGAAGAAACTTTGAACTTTCCGGTAGAGAAAATAGACAATGTGCTCTGCTCAGGTATGGATGATGAGTTCATAGTCAGCCTTAGTTGGGTGGGTACTAGAAGGATTATTCACCCTCCAGCTTTACATATACATTGGGGAGAAACATGCAAAGACCACCACATGTTAGTTCCCAGCTCCGCCCCTCCGCTGTGACCGGTCAGGAGGTCTCATTTTTCCAATAACTTGTCATTAATATTATATTACAGATCTGGTGGCAGGAGAATTGGGGATGCTCCAGGACAGCTCTTGTATATTAGCAAAAATGAGACTCCACAGACCAGGGGGATCCAGAGTAAAATCTTTGAATGAAGAGGTATCATTTATAGTAGGGGTCTCAAACTCAATTCCCTCGAGGGACACTCAACACATCTTTTTCTCCCATGGGGGCCCCTCGCCAAATTTCATACTTTAAAATAAAATTTAACTATATGCGCTATGGTACTATGGACCCCAATACACACACAATAAGGCCCCATTCATATCTGTATGTTTAGGTGCGATTAGGGATTCCTGCGTCAGAAACATGCGTTTTCCTGCAGCAGAAATCCCTAATCAGGCATTTACAAGCGGCCGCTGTCACCCATTCAAGTTAATGATCAGGTGACAGAAGTTGCATGTAAACCCCTGCACACCGCATGTAATGATATGTGATATGATTACATGCGGTTAGAAAACACTCTCCCTGAATACACAATCATTGCGTCCAGGGAGAGTGATTGATTCCTAACCAAATGTAATCATATCGCATACAATTACATGCGGTGTGCAGGAGTTTACATGCAACTGCTGTCACCTGATCATTATCTTGAACGCCAGATTAGGGAATCCCTAATTGCACCTAAAGATACAGATGTGAATGTAGCCTAATATACTCTCCCCCCCTCACATAAAAAAACTACCCCTGCACATACTGTATAAAATAATACACGCAGCCAAGTCCTGTCAGGTGGCGGACACATGTAAACAGTTGGGTGGAGCTAACGGTTGTGTCATCGCTAGCTCCACCCAATTGTTTATATTTTGCCGCCATCTGCCAGAATGCCATTCTGCGGCGGGAGTTGTTGCGAGCAGATGGGTCAGCGTGTGTCTGGTTCTTCTTTTGTTATTTTATACTTATTTTTTATTTTCGTCAAGTCGTCCTCCTCGTGGACAACGCTGGACCCAATGATTGACCCTAGGATTAGGTCAGTGGATACATTTATTTTTTTAAAATAAAGAACTTGTCATAATCATGTATTTTGGTTTTTTTTTCAATGAAAGGATTTTTTTCAAAAGTCTGGAGAATTAAAAAAAAAAGTGATTTAACCCCTTAGTGAATGAGTAGGGGTATAAGTACCCCTTACACATTCACAAGGGGGGGGGGTGTGCATCTGGGTTTATTAAAGTAGTACCCTGATGTGAATAAGACCCTCCCAGCCAGCACCCCCGCAACCAACGCCCCAGGGCTTGTGGGGAAGAAGCCCTTGTCCCCCATCGGCATGGGGACAAGGTGCTTTTCCAGGGGCGACCAGGTCACACTAGGGCTCTGTATGGTCTCACCAGCACCAGGGCTCTGTAGGGCCTCACCAGGGCTCTGTGGGATCTCACAAGCCTGGTGAGACCCCCACAAAGCCCTGGTGAGGCCCCACAGAGCCCTGTAGCAGACCAGACAAGTGTATTGACCGAGAAAACGGAGGAGCTCTCAGCCCTGTTGCTGTCAAACTGAGAGTCTCGCTTTGATAGCGACAGGGCTGAGAGCTCATAACGTTACCTGGCTGGCAGGTAATGTGCCGACCGGGCAAATTAGGCGGCCGCAAGGCCCTCGGGAGCGCGAGGCCTAAGGCGACCTCCTAATTTGCCTAATTAGAGAGCCGCCTCTGAGTCTGATCCAATAGAAGAGATACTGGAGATCAGATTACTGATAAAGTGAATGTTGGTTCTGATAGAAAGGTGTCTGAGCACTAGGGTTGCCACCTGTCCGGGATTCACCCGGACAGTCCGGGTTTTGAATGCTGTGTCCGGGTTTCATGGCAGCAGAAACCCGGACACAAGACAATGGACGCCAGCAGCGGCCCAATAGTTCACCATCTCTTCCAAGTCAGCCACCTTTTCAAAGAAATCACTCTGCTGCGGGTATCTGAGAGGTGCATCATGGAGCTGAGAAAATGGCTGGACAGCCATAGCGAGGCTTTTGATTGGTCGCACATATCGACAGTCATGGCGGATCTGCAGGGACCCCAGTAAATGGCATTTGAACAAATTTAGAAGCATATTTCACGGCTTGTAGCTTCCAATAACTTTACAAGTCTTTTTAAATACATTGCGGGGAATTGATCAAAACTGGAGCAGCTGTGCTCGGCAACCAATCAGCTTCTATCTTTCAAAGCTTAACTGAACAAACTGAAGAGAGAAGCTGACTGGTTACTATGGGCAACTGCTCCAGATACGGTCTATGTTATATATATGGCAACAGTATATTTTTTTAGAGAAACTCCAACTTTTATCATTATAAAGCTATCCATGGGCTCCAGTCAGTGACTTAATCTAGAATGAGGTGTTGCCATAGGTCTGCTGCAGGCAGGAGGAAGCATTTCATCAGTCTCCCCTCCCCCAGTGATCAGTCTGCTGCAGGCAGGAGGAAGCATTTCATCAGTCTCCCCTCCCCCAGTGATCAGTCTGCTGCAGGCAGGAGGAAGCATTTCATTAGTCTCCCCTCCCCCAGTGATCAGTCTGCTGCAGGCAGGAGAAAGCATTTCCTCAGTCCCCCTGCCCCAGTGGTCAGACTGCGAGATTGTAGCAAATCACAAGGTGAGAGGCTGCAGAATGGTCTGATCTGTGTCAGAAATTTGTAAACACAGTCAAGAACCAGAAAGGAATCAAGAATCCCTCCACCATTGAGGAATGCAGTAACTCTTCTTAAAACAGAAGGTACGATATGTACAGCAGGGGTGTCCCGAGGCCGGTTGTCACTCGGTTCCCAGGCCGGTTGAAACCCAGCCATGTCGTCATCGCATCTGACGTCGCCTCGCGCGTGCATGGCCATCTGATTGACGCCTGCTGGCGGCCATCTTGGTGATGGACACCGGCAGAGAGAGGAGGGGACGTTCACCCTTCAGGATGAGGTATGCCGCCGGGTCCACTCCTCTCTGCTGACACTGTCGGGCTCTAGGTCCATGACCGAGTGCCTGACTTTTTAGAGGGAGTGACACCAAAATGACTGTCACCCCTGCAATGGTGTCACCCGGGTGCGGGCCACAACCCCATTGTGGCGTCACTGATGTACAGGTCTTACTTCCACCAACTTATCTTTGGATAGCTGGTGGCGCTATACAAAAAGGTGCAAAAAATTATATTTTGCATGACCCCACCCACCCAATAAACCCGAATGAGGAATAAACTCCTTCTTTTCGATGCTTAATGGATGTGAAACACGTAGATTCCTTCTATTTAAAGAGTTTCAACTGTACTTTGGTCTAGACCCCTAATGTCCAACCCGCGGCTGTTGGCTGATGTGGTCCTCTGTGGTGCTTGCCATGTGGCCCTTGGACCTCAGCAGTGGCGTAACAACCGGGGGGGGGGGGG